CGGATTTATCCCCTACTTTGCCACCCTTAGAGGTGGAATATTTTCTTCAAATTTGAATATTACCATTGTGGTATTCCTTTCCAACAAAAAAGAATCATCGCAATCTATTCACGAATATCGAAGTAATCGCGTAACATACGAATACCTGCACACACAAAAAAATACAGTCGATTTGAAAACCTGCTCCTTTTTTGAAGCAGGCTACAAATACATTTTCTATTTTAATTCAACATGTAACTAAGGCGCTAGACATACAATATTTTAATATAACTTGCCATCAACAGATTGCAACTTATCTGTGCGGGCGTGGATGGCGAGTGATAGCTGGTTGCCGACAAGGCGGTCTGGGCGCGCGCCTTGCAGATTCTTGGCTGCAAGCGCACGCAGCGGCCACACCTGAAGACCAACCACCTCCGCGCCTGGCTACTCTTGAACTAGACGTCGCCAGAGAAGACTTGTTAGAAGAAGCTGCTCGAGCCACGGCTCAACATTTGCCAGCTGGAGAACACGGTGAGTTTATACTGGATATTCAGAGAAAGTATAATGTTTACTGGTGATCTATGCCACTTTTAACATTGTTTTTATCATAACCTTTTTTTTTTCAATTTTTTTACTGATGTCGAGATTTTCTGCTATTCTCCTTGATATCGTTGATGCAATTCAAATAAACATGTTCGTAATATAGGTTTATACTTAAGTTTCAGTGCACATAATTTCAGCCAAAAGACGATCCTACTAAACCTAAAATACACAATTTATTCCAATTTATACGAAAATGTATTCTTACGTTTCAGTTTGTGATCGTACTAAGATAAATACAATAATAACAAAAATAAATTTACTAAAAAAAAAATTTTACGAAAAAAAAGTTCATTGTTTTCTATACCATAATTTTTCTGATTGACTGCGCACGGTGTTACATGCTGTATAAAAAAACTACTATTCTATGCAAAACTAGCGGCTATTGAAAAAAGCTTTTTAGGGCAAAATACTCGGCTATTAAACGAAGTGTTGAAAAAAAGCGAAAAAAACATGCACTGCCCGGGAATCGAACCCGGGTCGCAAGAATGGGAATCTTGCATGATACCACTACACCAGCAGTGCTCGATCTTACACGTCGAAAATATCGTTCTATTTATAACAATGTGCGCAATCTAGTGTTCATTTATGTTTATTTTAATTACCTTTAGTTTGTTACTTATCATTAAAGTTGATTAAAAATCAGCCACATTACAAAAACCACTAAGATAGCAAGAAAATTGAAATTAATTGAAACGCCATCTAGTTCCTTTGCTTTGGTTCTATTATGTTCACTTACATCACATCGGTCAACTTGTTTACTCGTCGGTATCGCAAACTAGCTATGCAGCTAATTATGTAGAAGCACGATAGGTGGCGCGGTTTACTTAACAGTACCGCGTCACCTTCGCAGTAAATAATATTGTGGGTTTAAAATAAATCGTTTTTTTAATACAATTGCCATTGACTTACAAAGTCAATGACAATTGCTCAAAATGTGATATTTTTCGTACCATAAATCGTGCCGAAAGTTGGATTTTTCGCACTAGTGCTTTTTACATTTCCATTTTTTTTAAATTTGTTGTTGTTTCAAGTCTTAAACATAGAACTAAAGAGGTTGTTTATTTATTTAATATTTATGTGCTTTATTTATTTAATATTTAAGTCATTCGTCATTAAAACTTATATTTACTTACGAACATCTTATTTGTTTAAATTGCATAGGTTTTTTTATAAAACAACGGGTTACATTTAAAAATTTTAAAATATTTTGGATATTTTCCATTGATGGCTGATTGAGTATTATGAGTATTAACAATGACCGGAGGTGAGTATTACGCGAGACCGCTGCGCGCCGCGCCACTAAAATAGTAATTTTAATGTGGCTGTGACTGGCAACAGTTGCCATTGTACTCTGAATTTGTATTTTTTATTTATTAAGGTTTTGGCAAAGCCATCAGCCTAAACATGAATTATTATAATATTTACAGAGTTTTAAATGTAATTTAAAAAAAAGTCGGAATTTTTATCTCAGACAAAGAAATAAAATGGGTTTTTTTAAATACCTACTGTTTTATTTTACTTTCAATGTAGTTTTTTCGCAAATGTATTAAAAAACGTTTGATACACGTGCGCGAGACTCGTGAATAATGACTAACTTTCCGCACTTGTATCAAAAATAACTATTTTAATGTGACACGAGACTTTTAACTTCTAAAGCTGTAGCTTTGGTAAAGTTAATACTTACTTATGTGTTAAAAGTCTTCAAATACTCATCAAATCTCTTAGTTGAAAAAGCAGCGGTACCTATACCTATAAATATATTAATAAAACCCGTACCACTTAAATAAAATATTATTAAATAAAATATTGCCATCTGATTGTATTTTATATATTACTTAAATAAAATATTGCCATCTGATTGTAGGTATCTGGGCGGTAATAAATACGGCTGGCAGCAGCGGACGCGGCGGATCAACCTGTTGGGAATCCGCGCTGAAGGGCAACGTTCTGGGCGCGTTGAGGGTGGCTCGTACCTTCGCTCCACTTCTTGCAGCCGCAGCCGCAGAACATGATCACGCTGGCAGACTTTTCTATATCGGTAAGCTTCGTATCGTATACTTTCATAATAACAACTCTAACGATTCCGCATTGGACCGAACAAGGCATCACAACATCATCAATAATTAATACAGCAATGCACCTTTACAACCTTTCAGTAAATTTCTGTAACGCTTCGTTAAATAGAATCTTCTTAAGTTAGTTCTCACGATCGTAGGTGTTTTGCGAGTAGGAACACAGTATCGAAAGGAAAGTGTTGATACTGTACTCATGAGTAGAATCGGATAAAAGTATCGTAGTCGTACAGATATCGAAACAAAAGTATCGATACCTCAAGGTATCCATACTTTTGCCCGGCATTTTTTTTGTTGTTGTTGTGGCAAGATATGTCTTAAAATGTTTGAAGAATTACCTAAAGACTTAAAAGTTTTAAAACAGACTGCATTTGACATCATTTTTCTTTATTTTCTCAAAGTACTTCCAAATGTCACTTTTGGTAGGCGGCGGCATTTTACAGGTGAATGATTATTGATAAAATTGCTCGTAACGCACACGTGTGCACAGATCAATTACCTACTATTACAAAATAAATGCTCTTTGTATGAAATTAATGTATTTATCTTCTTTAGAATGTACTGTTTTTTTACTCTAGGATCGACTTTATTGTGATCATGACACCGTGACGAACACTGAGAAACGATTACGAAATGAAAACGGAAAATGTCTATTCAAACGTTTCGAACTATTTTTCTTTATTCTTACAAAGAGGTAAAAAGTGGCATAAACTATGATAGCCATGTCATTTATAATATAAATAATAATAAATAACGCACACACTCAACATAGCCCCGCACTAGGGAAACCCTGTGTCGCGGGTGCCATGGACACACAAATAGACAACCACAAATTACACCCAAACTCACGAGAGAAATAATTGTAGGCCATACAAATGGAATTGCATTATCATGTCATCTGTTACATTCAAAGTTCAGTTAAAATTTCACTCTTCAAAACGAAACGAATAAATGAAGATGGTCTTTGATCCAATGTTTATATTCGGCAGTCCAATGATTTCCATCCATTATTTTTTCATTTGTAGGCAAACTTGAAATAGTATAATAATAATAATAATAAAATAATAAAACCTCGTAGTGAATTATTTTAATAACAGAATATCTTCCAGGAACAGCACTATCTCAAAATAATCGTTAACAACAATAATCATAATCTCAGTACAGAGTACTAAAAAAACCGACCTCAAAAGTACGTGGATTTACGTCTATTTGCTAAGTTTTATTGAAATATCCCCTAGTTCGCCACTATACAGGACTTGACACTGAAGAATAAAAATAGGTTCTCACTACGACACTACACAAAGTATATTGAGAGAAAACGCCTTGAATTGGAGAAATAGCAAAATCAACCATTAAAGTAATTGCTCCTAAATTGAAATTAAGCGAATTTTATTTTATTTTATTTTTATATTGAAATTAATTAATTATTTATAAAAATGAATCTTCATGCGTGAACAGCCACCCTTCGAGGTGGATGATTTTCTTCAAAATAAAATGGGACCACTATGGAAGTACCTCCTTTCCAACAAAAAAAAGAATCATGAAAATCTGTTCACAAATACCGGAGTTATCGCGTAACATACACACAAAAAAAAAGAACAGTCGAATTGAGAACCTCCTCCTTTTTTGAAGTCGGTTAAATAATATACAAACAAACTTGCAATCTGAAGAATCCAAAGCACAATTTGGCGACATTTATGAGTAAACTACTTAAATATGTCTAATTACATAAGATATTTGGGTTTTTGTGTGATTTATCGACAGAAAAATAACACGTACAATGTTGCATTCGGTCGATTTCCGCTTTTTCTAAAGCCATATCCTGTAATGCTGCAAGGACGAATTTTTCTTAATATTTAATTGTTCTCACTGTCAATATTTTTGTCCATTTTATTAGAATTCATGCGAATAATTCAATAAAACAATTGGAAAAACATTTGTTTTGACATTTGATGTACTTCCCTTTGACAACCGTATCATGTACATCTTGTACTACGAAATGGACTCAGTTGGCATTTAAGATGACGTTACGTATTTGCGATTCCCGTGTTTGACACTGACTAATGTAATGCTATCTCTTTTGGCTTAAGACGGCACGCAATAGTTAAACAAAGACAATGACACGTTTATGTTTTCACCGTCGAAATGCATCATATACGTATAACGTCTGATTTATATATGTCAACATAACGTCCGTTGGTTTCCATAGTCTAAGGAAAAATTATTTGATTTGAGTGTTTTTAGATTGACATTTGAATTGTTTGGATGAATACATGCCACGACATTGCTAGCGGTGGTGGTTCCAATTAATCTTATGATTATCAAGATAATTATCGTAATAATTATCATGATCATTCATGATCTTATTAATTTTCCAGGACTGACATCAGATACAGCAAGCGACAGCTTATCCCGCTTAGACGCCGGCGACGAGGCTAGCGCAGGCGCAGCAGCGGTGCGTTGGGGCACCTGGGGCGCTGCACGTGCATTGCGCGCCTCGTTGCGATCGCGTCGTCTCCACGTCGTGCTATTACACGCGCCTGACCTTTCTACTGCTGAGATTTATGCGCCACCCGTACAGCTTACTGTCCCCAGCCAGCCTTCTAGGTAACTTTATAAGTTTTATCATAGTCTTCAATTATATAGTAGGTATATCTCAGTTTTACTATAACTTTTTCAAAATAATGAAAGCGTTAAGATACTAATATAAAATTTGCTATTACCTCTATGCACACAGTAGACTTGCCTATAGACTTTTTAAAAACTCATTGCGTTCCAGTCGTCCAGAAACACCAAGCTCCGACGTGAGCACATCTACAGCGAGTTGCGCAGTGACAATGCCAGGAGAAGCTGCTGAATACAGCGCGAAAGTCCTCCCAACCAGCGCTTTGAAGGTTTTGGAAGACGCCCTGACTGCACCTTCACCAAGAGACGCCTACCATTTGAAGATGAAACATGACTCCTGGTTCACAAGAGTTCCCTCTTTGAGAGTTGCTTGAAATTTTGTATTCCACTATTCTAACACCTATAAAGTAACTGTTAAATATTATATTAGTTACTCCGTTACTGATTTATGGTCTATTCCAAACAGGACGATACACTATATATTATTAAAACTGCTAACATTTAAAAAAGTAAATACCTATGTAGATTGAAGACTCAAACAAATCACTTAGAATGACTGTACTTGACAAAGTACTTTGATCATTTTTTATTCAGATCATGGTGAAGGAAAATGTCGTGAGTGAAGTTCCCATTCCGTATTCGGCCCGCGTAGGAACCTATACAGCCCAAGCTTCGCATTGTGAAATGAGGCCTATGCCCGGCTTGCCCAGTGCAACTATTATATAGGCTAAGTACTATTCAGATCACATGAATAAGTGGTATTCCTTTGATAAACTCGCGCAACGTACGTTGCGTATAACGCGCGTTAACGCGATTCAGTTGCAACTAGTAAACTTTTGCATACGTTCTTATTATTGAGTTTTTAAATGTGTGTCGTCAGTGCGTAAAAAATTCGCCATGTGCATAGGCTCTAAGGGCCGTATTCTAGAACTCTACTCAATGCTCAAGTCAGGATTTGAGTATGGTTTAAAGCACTCGAAATCATACTCAAGTCCCTGCCATTAGGGTCGTATTTCCAGTGCTTGTGTTACCAGTGCAATCCTGACTTGAGCATTGAATAGAGTTCTAGAATACGACCCTAAGGCTGCTAACTGATGGACTGCACGTCTGCAGTTAATGTGTGCAATTGAGATTTTTCTGCAAGGGTCAGCTGCATTTGAAGTGAACGATAGTCCGCGAATCAAAAGCAGCAATTAATTGACATTTAAGAGAAAATTATGATTTTTTGCGTCTGAAACAACTTGATGTTAGCAACAACAAAGGGTAGCTACTACTTGAGGATTTAATCAAAGTAATGGTGAAATAAAAACACGATTGGTGAAACTTTTCTCAACGATTTATTTCACATTTACACAATTCTTAAACTTTTTGTAAACAGTACTTGTGTTAACATTTTTTATCGCAAACTGCATTGCCGAATTTAGTCGGGGATTTTGGCCACAAATGAAAATGGATGATTTCGACAGCGATATGTTTATTTCCTTAATATAAAGTAAAGTCAATTTGGAATTATAAATGTTCTAAATAAAGTGACAACCTACAAGTAAAGCCAGGTACTCATTAGCGAGCTGTAACTGTAACGTGACTGTCACAGTAACAAGGTTCTACAGTGTACGCGTGAAACAGTCTTCACTCGCTAGAAGGAGTATGTGGTTATCGTCGGCTCACTGCGAACGGCACGCGTTCCGCTCGCGGCAAGCTTGCGAACCACGTACACACTATGATTTTTGGTAACCAAACGTGCAACGGTCACGGTCACAGTTCGCTAGTGACCCGGCTTTACATCAGTTAAGTTATTATTAAGTTCCATATGGACATCAGCAATTACACTAAGTTCCCGAGCTGGGCAGGCGGTGATGACAGCTTGCTGGCGGTGTTGACAGCTTGCTGACGGTGTTGATAGCAAGCAGGTTAATATATCGACTTCGCGCATGCAGTACGTCTCATAGCAGTTTTAGTACTTAGGAACATAGGGAAAGGTTCTTTTCACGAGTTACAATTTTAAGGGCATACTTAAATATTAGATAAATAGAATTTGTGGACTCCATCATGCTATCAAGTTTGGAATAGACTTAAGGTGGTTCATCAAATCAGTTTTTCTTTTTTTTTTGTTATTATAAAAGAATTGACAATCCAGTTACGATTTGCAAAAATTTTAGCTAGTTAGTATTTATATGTTTGTGTCTAAGATTGTTGATGAGCCATCCTACGTATCTTTATTATTTGCACTTTAGTCACCAAGTATATAAAAATAAAGGTGAAGGTGCTCTAATACACTTGATAAGGCTTCAACAACTTTTCAAAACAAAAATAATGATGCACGAATTGACACAAAATAATTTAAATTTATTTTCGTATACCATCATTACATAACAATAAAAACGTACGGTGGAAATCTCGGCCTTACATTCTTATAATCTTTAAGTTTCAAGTGTTCACAATGTATTTAAACTATAAGTTTGTTAATTTTATATTAATGACCTACTTATCCCTTATCGAGGGCACGGGAAAGTGGATGTAATGTGCCAAACTATGAAGGTACTGAACTGAGAAAATAATAATACTAAACAAAGAGTGTATTTAATTTTCGTAGAGAAACATAAAGTACCTTCTTTCAGATTTTAACGATGGTGATAGAATATCGCCTTCTGTCACAACTAAAACGATTAAAAGCTATAAATATGTTTTTCAATACGATGCAGATTTGCTTATATTTGTGAGAATTGTACATAATATTTCAAGCTCACATTGTGCCAATTTAAGAGTGACTATTGCATGTTAATGAACGAGTAAAATTTTCATAGGTTATTATGTAAACCTACTCTATTAATCCAGTGGAGCCAGTATACTATAGGCGCATAAAATAAGATTTCATAACGCAATTTAGTACGTTTTTTAAGTTTGCAAAAGTTCGGATATCGGAAGTCATAAAAAAACATAACTATGTAAATAATGTTTGTGTTTGTATATTATACATTATCTGCAAAAATGTTGTTTTATTTGTATTCCTTTACTGACGAAATTTGTAAGAATGTAAACATTTACTTAATATAATAAGACAAATCGGTCAACTCCCGTCCCGCCTGTTTCGTGCGTAATTGCTTATTACACTTCGTTCGGAGTGTAGGGTTATTACATTGTCATCTTAGATGTACATAATTTGGAAACATTAAGGTATGCGTCGCAGTATTCTCCTGTTATATGTAAATAAATTTTGTTACATTAAGTACTTACGTACTGATATTTTTGTACCAGTATCGAGGAGTGGTATCTTTTGATTATGGAGTAAGATTCATAAATAGAACTGAAATGCTGAACAATTCTGAATTTGACAATTGAAACTTGTTCAAACTACGATAAACAAAAATAAGCACGTATAGACGTGTCAAATAATAGTATTTTTATACACTGATGGACCGCTTTAATTCTATAATGAATGGTACGTGTGACGGACGACCCGCGATAGACAACGCGAATGTGTGTTCGTACGTCCGGTATGCAGCCTTCGTGCATACATACAAGTCACGTTACCATACCTGCCTTATTTATACTATGGTATAATCTAGATCCTAGAAACCAGAATAAAGTCCGCTACATACGAGCAAAATATGTCAAATTCAAAATAATCTTTATTTCATTGGTAAGAAAATTACACTTGAAATCGTCATATTGATTATACTCTACCGCTCATTCGTGAGGCAAATTCCCCTGAGAAAAATGAGCAAGAAACTCTATTCTCTTTATAAATACACATTTGTATACATTTATCATTTACAATATTTACTTGCAGGAGCTAAAATTTTGTCATACAAGTACGCATAAGCTGTATATATCTTTAATATCCTGGAGATCTGTCACACAGGTTAGTTCCTAGCATAAACTCCAGTCTCTTGCAAAGGTGCGCTGTTATTTAAGCATTTTCATATAAATTACATCATAAAACTTTGTATCCTTTGTAAGAGTAAAATAAAGATTATTATTATTATTATAAAATAAAGTTTATGTTACACTATAGTTTTAAACTTTTTAAATGGCAAATTTTGAATATCAACCGGAATCTTATTATAGAAGCGTACACATTGCTCCATAAATGAATTCGCGAATTTGTGAAGACGACTGTCAAGAAGAGCTAGTTTATTTTTTATTTCTTTGTCACAATTTTTCATAAAAAATAATATTCTTCTTAATTTGACTGAATTACATTTTCATAAATGTATGTAATTATATTACAGTTTCAATGTGATGAGTCGAACGATTAAATAATGACTTAAACAAAGTCCTGTTTTACGATATTACGTATACTGGTTTCCTGTAGTGCTTGTGCCACACGAACTCTAGCACACTGGCTCCTTAACTTTTAGATGATCGAAACTTAGCCAAATGTAGTAGTGTTGAACGCAAAATAAGGTCCCGCTTCTTCTAGAAACATCTGCTCTGTCCAAACTACTTAAACATACCCAGTATTGCTGGTCGCTAGAACCACGTTGCTGCCAATGCGCGGCAGTACTGACGCCGAACCGGGAATGGTCTGATTTGTTGCCCACGTAGACAACCGTAGTATCAGCAAATTTTAATGAAATTGAACCGAAGTTACGAATTCTAAAAAAAAATTGTATAAATCCCACCATCACGTTACCAAAAAATTTTTTGTCACATTATTATTCCTTAGGTATATTATAGTATATTTATGAATATTTGATAGGCAAGTTATACAACTGGAAATAGTTTATATACGAGAAACAATAGATCTTTTTCTATATTGCATTGTTAATAGTACAGTCTGGTCTTCATTTTTACACACCCACTACCCAGTAATTTCCAGTCAATTAGCGCACTACGCTTACT